TGTTTTTCAGGGGTTGGGTTTGGTCCCTTCATTCCAGTGAAGGGAACTCTTAAGGCATCAGCATACCAAGACATTTTGGACAATTTCATGCTCCCAACTGTGTGGGAACAGTTTGGGGATGGTCCCTTCCTGTTTCAACATGACTGCGCACCAGTGCACAAAGCAAGGTCCATGAAGACATGGATGAGCGAGCTTGGGGTGCAGGAACTTGACTGGCCTGCACAGAGTCCTGACCTCAACTCGACAGAACACCTCTGGGATGAATTCGAGCAGAGACTGCGAGCCAGGCCTTCTCGTCCAACATCAGTACCTGACCTCACAAATGCGCTTCTGGAAGAATGGTCAAACATTCCCATAGACACACTCCTAAACCTTGTGGACAGCCTTCCCAGAAGAGTTGAAGATGTTATAGCTGCAAAGGGTGGGCCAACTCAATATTGGACCCTACGGACTAAGACTAAAGTTCATGGCATTAAAGTGCGTGTAAAGGCAGGGGTCAAAATACTTTTGGTAATATAGTGTGTAGATATGTAAATAAATATATATATATATATATATATACATATGTATATATATATATATATATTTAGAGTATATACACACACAGTATATATAATTTATAATCAGTCCATTTTAAGGGCTTAGAGCTGTACCTCGGCTTTTATCGACAGCTGGTGGTTCCAAGACAACAGTTGAATGCCAGTGCCGTTCTAAAATAGCACTGAGATGATTAACCACAGTCTCAGCAATTTTTTAAAATGGCACCTGGGGTTCAAGTGGTTAAAGTGTATCTAATCCAATTTTAATTTTTAGTTCTCGATAGAGTTGGAAAGTGTAAGAACCTCTGACAGGTCTTTATTGGTGTTAATGTCTTCACTTTAGGAGATAAAGTTCATACTGTGTGCAGTGTTTTTCTGCACCAGATCAACATCAGTCACCGCAAGGGTGCATAGAAAACAATTGTTTTGTATGTGCCCTGTTCACACCACCATGCTTTCTTGAGGTGGGTTGAGGCACAGTGTGAAAAAAAATGCAGACATTCAACATTTTTCTGCAACGTGCATCAGCTTATGTCAGCGTTGGTCACTTACCACAGCTGAGCTGCAGCTAATACAAATGAATGAAATGTCACTTTGACATTTCAATAAAGTTTTAAAAAATAAATAAACATTGCCTTACATTGTAACAATGCAAGGCACCCCCACCACCACTCTGACACACAACAGACATCAGCCCACGTGCTGATGTCATTTTAGCATGCGGGCTGGTGTGAACGAGCCCTCACCCTTTTTTATTGTCCTGGTAACTACTGTCACTGTGAGAGAAAGTGAGTTTTCATTTTGCACTGGAGCAGAAATTAAGGCTAAATATTCCAATGTGGACACATGTTCTAGTGACTACTGTCTAAGGCTGGCCGTACACAGCTTTTCTTTTTTTTCCGTTCAACCTGTGGGCTGAACGAAAAAATTAGACCATATTCCTCCATGAGCACTACGAGTGTGTCGATCGAGGAATCCCCGCTGTTTGCATTGTATATTGACAGCGTCCACCGGCCAGAGTACCTGACCAGCAGCGGCAGCTCATTGACTGCTGGCTCTGGTCGTACGAAAAGATTTTCCAGCTGGCTCCTTCAATCAGCTGATCAAGGGATGCTGCCCAAAAGCGTGCCAACAGCGGCACACACTGTACGAGTTTGCACCCTTAGAGAGGATTTACCTTACATTAAAGAGTTGTGTCTTAATAATAGAAATGAAGAAAGGTTTTCCCAATGTAACAAGGCAGAAGAAGCATATGACAGGGGTTCTAACTAGGGATGCACCGATACCGGTATTTTGGTACCGAGTACTTCTTCCGGTACTCGCCGGTAATGACTTGCCACCTGGCTTCCTGATTAGCCGAGAAGCCGGGCAGCGTGTAAAGTCTTGTGTAGCACAATGATGCGGACATCAATAAATGGATTTGCACTGACGTTTAAGTCTCTGTCGGGCTGGTGATGTTTCTACACAAGACTATGCTGAATGCGGCGCCATCAGCAGTCATTGCGAGCACCCACAAATACGTATGGGAGTTCTGGTAAGGAGTGCTACAGGTCTTTGGACGATTGGGCAGCATGTAAAGACTCGCCACCCGGCTTCCCAATTAGCAAGGAAGCCGTCCCATGCTTCTCGTCAATATGTGATGAGGGAGCATGGAGCCGGCTTGCTGGCCAATCATGGAGGCCGGGCGCCGTGTAATGACGCGGCGCCCTGCTTCCTGATTGGCTGGGAAGTCGGCTCCATGCTCCCTCGTCACTTGTGAAGTATCGGGCTAGGCATCGGCTTCCTGATTGGCCAGCTTCCCGACCAATCAGGAAGCCGATGCCTAGCCCGATACTTCACAAGTGACGAGGGAGCATGGAGCCGGGCAGCATGTAATGACGCGCTGCCCGGCTTCCTGATACAGGAAGTATCGGGCTAGGCATCGGAGCATTTGGGCCCATACGAGTACTCGCCCTAAATACTTGGTATCGGCACCGATACCGATACTAGTATCAGTATCTGTGCATCCCTAGTTCTAACCATCCCCTACTGTATCGAATAAACGTTTGCTTTATATATACTTTATATAAGTCGGCATATTACCCTATAAGGGCAGCCATACTGAGATGGAGGGGGAACCCTTAGAGTAACTGTAGCCATTACCGCCTGTGGATTTGTCCCCTCCTGCAGTCCTAACAAACATGGCACTAGCATGTATTTATCAGGTGGTTTGATCTTCATGCCGGACTATAACACGTCCCTCCTGAGAAAGCTATTTTAGCAAAACGGGTTTAGAATGAAGCCATTATGGTGCTATCCACCCATGAAGCATGAAGCTTTTTGCTGGAATCACTGGCGTGTCACAAGACAAATGTGAAGCAATATTGGCACCTAGTCTACAAAGACTGTATGGTTTATAGGAGGTTTTCTACTCTATGCACGAAGGAATGTTATCTGTTCATAAGTGTTTTAATATGAAATAATGAACATGTTTTGTTTTATGATATACAAATAGAGGCCTATTCATGTACCGTGATAGCCCCTCTAAATTTCACATTTACTTGGATTTACATATGTTAAGGGTGTGGTACCATAGCCTAGGACCTTGGCCTACGATTTTGTACATTACCCCATAAACAAGAATATTGATGTGGCAGACTAAACTTAAACACCTATATGAAATGCCGCACCCACTTTATTGCTTATTTTTTAAGAGCAATAACTTGTGAAATGTGACAATGACTGAGCTCATTTAAATGCCAGATTCCTGTAACCTAGAGGAATGTCATCTCTATTGCTCATAGTAGGAGCTCCCTTTTCCCTAGAAAAAAAAAAAGAGCTAATTTAAAAATAAGTTTAGCCCGGAGTCGGGCTTTAATGAGAACCTGTGCAGGGCAAAGCAGCAGGGTCCACTTTAATGGAGACCTCCACTGAAATACTTACATGCTTTTTGTTCTGTTCATCTGCTGGGAGTACAAGAAAAGTCCAGTGAAAGCCACAAGTTGCTGCAGTTGTAGCTTACACAGGGGCTCAATTACTTCTCCATACCTAGAAGTACTCTTTCCTTTGGCTCCAGAGCAGTTGGCCAGTGAAAGAAGGGTACGTATTTCCTGCTTATAACTGGGGGCTGAAAGCAAACCTGTTGCTTTGTCCTCAAAGGCAAAGTTCGCCTTTAAAAAAAAAATTGACACATCTTCATAAAAGAAAAAATATGCATTTATTCTTTTTTTACATTACAGCCAGTAAATCATTGCAACCGCTATCAGTAGATTGCGGGTGCAATGCTCTGGTTTCTACAGATTCCCCCTCCTGTCCCTGTCTGTACTGAGGTACAGACAGGGACAGGAGGTAGAATTAATGGACTACAAGTGCAGTCATGCCTTTGCTGCGGTGAGTGATGGGACTTGTACTTTCTCCATTCACATATCCTGTCAAAGGATCTTTGATTGGATAATGTAGCTTTGTGGGCGGAGTCATATACAGCAGTGGCTTTTTAAAAAAAAGAGCAGCAGCCTGCGGGGAGAAGAACTTTGCAATTAAGGTAAGTAGGGGGCAGGATGTGAATATGGTGGTAGCATGTAATGTGGTTAAAAGAGTAAACAGCCTTTAGGCCTCATTCACACAGGGCATGTTTCCCCATAGAGCGTGAAGGGCTGTTTTTTCATGCACCTGCAAATGCAGGAAGAAGCATGCAGGTAGCTCATATAGCTCTGTACCCAGGACCTGTATGCCCTCACACGCTGCTTGATGAAGCTCCAAGCTTTGACAGTCACACACAGCCTTGGACGCAGATATGATGGACACCATCTGTGTGCGGCTGTCAAAACACAGCTGCAAAAAGAAGTGGGCGGCCAGCTGTGGGCCCTCATGCTGCTTCCGGCAGCTCCGAGATTTGACAATCGCACATAGTCGGTGTACGTTTTTAGATGCAGACATGATAGAGAAGGAGCGTGACAGGGGGCGCAGCTCCTGCATCTCCATAGATTTATATGAGCTGCTCAGACGCTTCTTCCCGCAGCTATAGTCCAATCAAAAATTGCCCCTCTGTGTTCGGGGCCACACGCCCCGTGTGAATGAGGCCTAAACAGACAAAGCACAAGTTTGTTTTAATATTATAATAACATTTGTATACATTTACATACAAATATATTGATGTAGAGGTAGAAAGAAAGAAAACAAGAACAAAAGTTGACTTGTTACCCATATCATTCAATCACAATTCTAATTTTTCCATATCATGAAAAGTGAAATATAACTGGTTGCTGGCAACACCTCCACCTTTTATCCAATGACTTAGCCCCATTATGATTCACCAGACCTGGCTTTACTAAAAGATGACCTCTGTATCAGCCTCTTGCTATGCAGAGATGAACTAGTTAATCCAGCCAGTGAGAAAAAAGCAGGTGAAACTCATTTAAGGAAATGAGCTTCAGTGGCAGTCTGTCTGGAGCTCTCTGTGAACTGACATGGAGGGAATTGGATAGCTGAGCTCACTCGCCTTCAAGGAATGGCTGTGTCACTTTTTGTGTGCGTCTACTATTGGACCTGGCTTGCCTACTCATCTACAAGTGCTTCAAGACTGGTATATGACAGCCAAGCCTATAGTCTGCTACCACCCTTGCTCAAGGAGCTGTCAGAGCGTCCAGGCTGGGGGGAAGGAACACTGGTCCCTCAATCAGTAGCCATCAAGTATATGAAAAAGCTGTACAAAATGCTGGCCACCAAGGAAGGAGTCCCCAGGGCCCACAAGAACACTGAATATAATACGGTCCGGTTCTTTACACCAAAGACTGAGTGCAAAGCGCGATCAAGAGAGGAGATAAAAAGTCAGTATGAAAGTGGTAACTGACCTTTAGGGCCCTTCTAATCCTCATGTATGGAATTGTAACTGTACTGTCTTATTTTGTAAAGTGCTGTGCATACTGTTGGTGATATATAAATCCTGTATAATATTAATACTAATTTCACATGTTATCCTACTATCAAATGAAGTTAAAAAAAACATTGGCACTACTACCTCAAAGCAGAGAAAACAATGAAATTAGCATTTTCCAGTTACTGCAACAAGGCAGTGCAACATGCAATAATGCATAATCCGAGTGAGGTTATTGCTAATCTACTATAGTAACTACAGAATTTATTGCTGGAGGTTACTACACTGCTTTATTATCCCGGTTTGTACATCACATTTGTGCCCAGGAATTGACCTCTTCATAACCAGACATTTTAAGCCTTTATGAGTAGAATGATTCGGATTGTGCTCAGATGTCTATAGCCTGGTGTAGGAATGCACACTAAATTTAATGAGTACATGCACGCTTACTGGTCTTTCAAGTGAAGCCATCAGGAAAGAAATCTGAAGCTGGCAAACTTTGGAGCAGATATCCTTGTCCTTTGTATATTTTTAAGCCACAAAAAGCATGTAACCAGTGAAGTCACACAATACCAATTGATCAGCCATGAATCTTCAACTCCCATATTTCTGTTCCAAAGAATGCTTTAAAAGGTGTTAAAAGTGAACTAAACTCTTTCAATGTTTTAGATACAAAAGATCATTAATGTAAATGGTCTTTTTTGCATATGTTATAATTTAATAAAACCTTGTTGTAATGTACAGTTTCTAATCATAGAAGTACATGGGCCAGCCATGTTTGCTCACTTTCTGTGCAGCTCCTCTCCTATTACTGCCTGTACCTGGCTTGGCTCCTAATTTCACAGACAGACTTTCTGATTTAAAAGCAAGGTTCTTACCTTGTTCTCACCATAGTCTCAAATGATATGAAACAACCACAAGGCTTTTGGTAGGCTGAGAAAATAATTTTTATTTTATTCATGGTGATTAAGTTGGTTTTACTTGATATAATAATGTGATTTAATATCCCTTGTGCCAGGCTGCTTTATGAAATGTTTCAGTGGACAGACTTTAACCCTGTCATGACTAGAGGGCATTGAAGCCAAGATACCCAGGCCAAATTTAGCAGCATTGACCTGCATCTGTTCGCTTCATTATGAGGTGATACCTAAATTTTATATGTATGTATATTTACATATATACACACACTGTGGTGCTGGTGTATAAACCGTCTGATCCACATATAGCTGGGCAAAAACTCCATTTGCATGTCATTACTGCCACTAAATGGATCATAGGAAATTCCTATGCTTCATCTAGTAGCAGTAGGGCCATTCGTACACGCCTTTTATGCTGGGTAGAAGTTTAAGCTGGGTAGAAGTTTTATACATCAGCCTGTGTGTGTGTGTCTGTGTGTTGTTGGATTTAATGGGTGAATGAGTCCTGTAGTACCCCGTTATCTTGGCTGCAAAGAAATGTCAAGAGCATGACCTTTACCTGGTTACAATTTTTTTTCAGGCCAATGGCAGAAGTCTTTTCACTGTATATACATGCCTGTTTGTCTCATTGATCTACAGTTATAGGATTGTATCGGGGCCACCCCTATAATGAGGCCGCCTGAGGGTTTTGCCTCAGACGGCATCTCTTTGGGTTATGTAGTGGGGTGGCAGGCAGAGCTGCATGGCTGCTCTGCTGCACAATGTTTGCAGTGTGCCTGCTGCCCCCTTTCTGGGCAAAGCCTCCCAGGTTGCTTGGAGCCGGGTGGGAAGATTTGGAAGAGCCATAAACAAAAAGACGGTACGAACAGCACTCTTGGATAGGGCCTGGGAAGTATGTGTGCCTAACTAGCCTGCAGCCCTGGAAGACAGGAGGAGTGCCTGTGCTAGTGAAAACCAAAAAAGACAACAGTGAGGGCGCGAAGCTAAGGAATCTAGCTGGGCTGAACGTTGTAAGAGGAACGGCAAATTAAATGGTGTACTTACTGGAGTGGGTCCGTGGGGTCGGATGAGGACCGGTCTGTGGGAGGATCATGAAGTCCAAGATGAGTGTTCTCAATGGAGGCTGGTGTGCTGCCTGAGGCTACTCATCTTGAGAAGGTGAGAGACTGAGGGGAGGGAGCGGGTGGCAGCACTAAGATATTGTCCGTATCCCCGCTGCTGTGGTGTGAAGATCCGGCGGTGTACACGGATAGTGTCTGGCTGGGCTGCTGTGGCTGCAGCTGTGGGTGGTGCGGCTGAGTCTATGTGTGGACCGGGGCTTGACAAGTACACAGGCATTAATGGTGTGGTAGGTCAAAGGCAGCCGGGAAGCTGACAAGGTGATGGATGGTCAAGTCGGTGTAGTCAAGGTGGAGGATCGGGAGCAACGCGTTTCGAGGCTAAGACCTCTTTTTCAAGCTCAGCAGGAATGGAATCGCGCCCTCACTGTTGTCTTTTTTGGTTTAAGAGCCATACACATCTCCCTGCCCAGCTCTTAGCAACCTGGGACACTCTGGCCAGAGTCCCGCAAAGCTCCTGGTAACCAGTGATGTCACTGGTTGCCAGAAGCCGGGCGGGACACCAGAGCTGGGTGGGGAGACGTGAAGGGGAGAAGACCCCCCCCCCCCCTTTCCCCCCATAAGATGGTTTGGGGGAAAAGTCTAGAGACACCCCTGGTGATGGTATATACAGGATTCACATTGAAACCAAATTGACAGACCCATGATCTGATCCAGTTTTACTTACAATTTGATACATAAAATATTGATGTAACACCAAACAAATATTTGCAGAGGTAGAATCAAAACTAGTTTGTTGAAACCAAATTAGAGCTATATTGATACAGCCATAAAAGAAACCACAGAAAATTCAGAGCTAGGTTCTAGGTGCACGGACCCACAGTGGGTAGTATACAGTACACTGTGTCACCAGCAAAACTGGGAAGGCATTGCATGATACTTCCAGGTGGTCAGTTGGGTGCCACCTCCTGAAAGCTCTGTTGTGGCAGATCCAGGGCCGGATTTCCCACAAGGCCAACCAAGGCCCGGCCTAGGGGCAGCAGTGGTGTGGAATTCCTATCTCTCGACGCCCGGGACATGCAGTTCTGGGTGCCAGGCGGGTAGTTTTCTACATTTAGCCCTGCTTTGGGCAAGCAGAGCTAAATGTACAGCGTTTGTTTTGTACAAGTGACCTCGGCGATGTTGCCGAGATCACTTGTATGCAGCCTGCAGGTCTGCCATTCTCCATTGGGGTTTGGCGGGCAGGGGGACACATTGAGGAAACTGGCCTTGGGGCAGTAGAGAGAGTAAATCCGTCCCTGAGTAGATCATGGCCCTTTGGCTATGTAGAAATCCAGTTGCAATCGGAGACCTCTGGTCAGTTAACACACATGGAATAACTGCTGCTCCTTGTTTTTAAATTGTATCCCACAGCCAAAAAAAACCATTTTATGTATTGTAAATTATACACACGTTTCAGCTTATCAGTCCTTCAATGTGGTGGCTGCATTAGTTTACTTTTCTCAGTCTCCTTTCCTTTTTTTTTTTTTACCTGGTGATCCTGCCAGTGACAGCACTATATCTATGGCAGAGCAGCACTGAAGCCCTAGGCTGCTTCCCTAACTTGGAACTACAAATTCCTACCCCCTCAAATATTAAATATTTTTGTGTTGAGTTTAAAAACCACTGCATCTGCTTTAGTCTTAAACCAAACCTAGCAGGTGCATGGCAAGATAAGACTTTGGGGTCTATTCACGAAGCTGCCGAAGGATCTGGCCGTAGCTTCGGCCGAAATGCATGGTTCTGGTCATTGACAGATGGTAAATTGACCCATTAATCTTTTGTGTACACGTTGGAAAGAAATTAACATTTTTTATTTCCGATTGACTGCCTATGAACACCTTTGCACCAATACCTTATGCTATTCACTAATTTAAAGTGCTAATTGTGTCTTTTCTGTTCTTCCCAGATGTTAAAACCCTGGATTTGTTATTCAATATTGACAGTGTCTCTACAATGGAGCAACATCTTCGCTCTGCCTTGGTTTATTCTGTAAGTAAACAATATTCCTCTTCAAATATCTCCTGCAACTGTAGCCTGGAGTTTGTGGATCAGGAGACTACAAGCTCGGTCTGTTCTAGACCTCTGTACGTATCTGAATTTCAACTGCAGAGAAAGCAAAGATGGATCGAGATTGATGTGACCGCTTTCCTTCAACCGTTTCTCCTAAATCGGCAAAACATTCACCTGTTGTTCAACTTGACATGTATGAGGAACAAGGTTCCCTACAGTTTTGGAATGGGGGAACCTTTAAGAAGAGCAAGATCTCCTCCATGTTTGCTTCTTTATTTAAATGATACCAGCAATACAGCATACCACTGGAGAAAGCTGCATATAGGTTCTCCCAGCTGGCACCAGAGTGGGCACGTAATTTCATATCTCGGTGATTTCATGGAAAACGTGCAGATGTATAAAGTCCCTCGCCGTCGAAGAGGTCAAAATGCTGAGGTGGGCAGGCTAACTGTAGAGTCAAGTGCATATAATTTCAGTGACCTAGCCAAACAATTTGTGTATCATCAAAATGAGTGTGAGCTTCATAAATTTCGACTCAGTTTCAGCCAGCTGAACTGGGACAAATGGATCTTGGCACCACATCGATATAGCCCGGATTACTGCAAAGGAGTATGCCCTAGGCTGGTTGGCCACAGGTATGGCTCTCCAGTACATACTATGGTTCAAAATATAATCTATGAAAAACTGGACTCTTCTATACCCCGGCCATCTTGTGTTCCATCTGAATACCGACCCATGAGTGTTCTCATCGTTGAAACTGATAAGTCTATAGCGTATAAAGAGTATCAAGATATGATTGCAACCGAATGCACCTGCCGCTAGTCTTCCTTCGCACAGTCTATCTGTGGGACCAGCCATAAGCGCTTATTGGGTTTTATGGTGGCAAAAGGGGAGCAAAGTTTGATGACATAGAATTGTATAATTACATCTGCACACATCCAAAACAGTTATTTTTGCATTATATTAGGTGTACCATTATTACTTTTCTTCGTTCAGATCCTATTTGTTGCAGGTTTTATGTTTAAAGGTAAATTTAGGAGTCCATTTATAAACCGTTCTCAATCATTTGCCCTGCAAATCTCAGACTGTTTGTTCTGTACTAAGAGGCAAAAGAGAATGCTTCATAATTTTGCAAGTTGACTGTAATGTTATAACGCATTATGGCCACTGGATGGAGCTGAGGAGCATATGCAATACATGCTTATTTCCTATACTTCTCAGCCCCATTTAGTGGCCAAAATAGTTATTTCCAATGCTCCTCAGCCCCATCTAATAGTCCTAATTCAGTATTGCATTACATTTGACCTGGAAAGTAAACATATTATGAATGATTGTGTTTTGCCTCTATTCGTACAGAACAAACCTTTTTAGATTTGCAGAGTGAATGGCTCTGAAAATTGTTTATAAATAGTCCTTTATATTCTACATGAAAATTTCCCTTATCTTCATTGTAGGCCTGAGAGAAAACTGCTTTACAAATCTTTAAAGCACCCTTCAACTACAGTTTGGGTAAACTAAACACCGACCTTACTTAGCGTGCTGGCTGTTACTGAAAACATGCTGCTAGTAGGCTTCATCAGGATTTTGAGACGCACAAGCACTATTTGACACTTGCTAAAAGCCTGCTATATTCTCCCAGCAGCTTGTATAAGACGACATCCAGCATTCTGACTAAGATCTGCATTGAACATCTCAACTGGGGCTGCAGAGCCCTTGAAACTGACTGAAAGCTGTCAAAGCTTACTCTACACATGCACTTACAGAAGCTGAAGCCTGTGTGTACAAGACCTAAGGCCCAAATGCAATGGGGTTGAATAAAAATAATCTATGCTTCTCGCTTAAAGATATTTTAATACTGCTGTGTCAATAACTCAAGGACTCTAGATGCCATGAAGGAGGTTTTAAGATTGCCGCCGTCGCTTTTAAATGGCTTGTTTCAAAAAGACAGGTCAAATGGTTGTCTCTGAGACAACCGCCCTCCTTCACGTGTGGAATCTGAGCAAAAGTTGTCTAAAACTGAAGACAACCTCCTTTTTTGCAACGCCGTGAAAACGTTCTTAGGTGAACTGTAGTGATATGTAGAATGTTTATTTGCAGAAATAATGCAATAACATTTTGTGCCATAATATTGCAAGCAACGTGCTATTACTTAGCATTTGAATTTTGCAAACATTTGTAATGTATATTTTAACAAAACTTCCTTTTTGGTTAGAGGCAGTACTGCTATACTTAGTGGCCTAGTTCTAAAGCGGTGACCTTAAATTATTCACTGTGTATTAAAATCCATTCACCAGGAAGATCCCGCGGTGTGTTTTGGTGAACATCACGTTCAATGCTTTATAAATATACCCCTCAGACATCACTATGCTGTATTTATAGAGTGCAGTATTGCTGCTGCTATGTGCCAATACTGCTTTACTTTCCTCAGCATAGCAGGCCTTCATTGGTGGATATTAGATTGGAGCTATTGTGTTTTGTAGCTCTTGAATGCTGTAATTTTGCAACTTCCATATGATATGGAATAACGGAAGATTGGAGCTTGTATTGTGTATGCAGCTCTTTTAACAACTCCCTATCAGTATATGGTTCACGTTGTCTTGCTTTTTGAGGTACCCCTACCATTAGCAGGAGGGTCTTGTAGGTGGGTTTATGTAATACAAACACTTTCTAACTTTTATTGTTGGGGAGGGAGGGGGAACGTTTCTGTTTTTTGCACAGCAATTGAAATGACACTCTTTAATGCCCTTTTTTTTTTTATTTTTTTTTTATTTAAAGACGCAGCTGTAAAAGCACATGATTAGACTTTCATGTTCCCTGTCTAGTAGTCAAAGCTATGGTTATTGATGATGTAATACACTTTATTTTCCCTAATGAATATGTTGGCTGCCACTATATTTGCAATAAAAAAAAAATGCAATGCTCTGTTCTTGATTTATTTTGAATGGTCGTGTTGTTTTTGCATACACCTACCCTTTGTGGTGGTGGGAGAGTATGAATGGGCGTGTAAGTCAAGTGATTTTAAAGCAGAAGTAAAGTGTAGGAATTTTTGGCAGAACAGACATGCCAAGTCTCATTTGCTAACAGTTTTCCTCTATCTCCAGGAAGTTGTAATTCTTTTGCGTACACTGTATGATGCATGCGCTGTGCAGTGTACATACTCAGCCCATTCATAGCCTCTCTAAGATGCTGTGAATGCGCTGGGTCAGATGTAACATCAGTGGCCACCCAACAAACAAAGTGGAATCGCACGTTGTGGTGGGGAGGGATTGAAAATGGATCTCACCCCCAGAGGGCGTATCTACAAAAAATTACACCCCTGGCAACCAGTGACGTTACTGGTTGCCGGAAGCTGGGTAGGAGCTGGTTGCGGAGATGTGTATAGGAAAGTGGTGGAGAGAAAAAGTCTGTCTCCATGGGTCAGCAAATATTCGATGACCATACATTGATTGACAAAAATATTGCCAAAGCAACTCAAGTTGCAGATGGCCATCATGGCTTTAGAAAAATTATTCATAGATCTTCCATTTAATTGCATAGCCACATTTTCAGCAGCCATTTACCAATGTCCCAAAGGTAAACTCTTAAGTTCAACACCTTTTACAATCTGACTGTACAATCACATTTAGAACTAACAACTATGTAGTGAAGGGCCTGCCTGATTGGATACAAACTGATTGGCTAGTTAGGTAGGTCTTTCTATTACATAGTTTTGTTAAATCTGAAGGAGATTGTACAAACATTGCATAGCGATATTCTAATGACTATGGTTACAATGGTTCTGTGGTCCTTAAGAGCATGCTTAAAATCATAGTCCACCTTTGTGACCATGTTTCATGTTCCACCCATATTTAGAGTCTAACATGAAACATGATTGCCCCCGCCCCCCCTTAATCCTCAAACCACACCCCCACTTACCTGAATCACTGGGTGCTTCACCCTGGAGTGTCCTGTTTTCTTTTAAACTTTTGTATGACTGTGTGTGGTTCTGCCCACATAGCCTTATATATTCACAGGGATTTGTGAATAGACTAAAAGTCCCATCTTCCACTGTGACAGAAGGACTCGAAGATCAACACCTTGGTATAGACCTGGGGCTGGGGGAAACATTTACAGGAGCCTATGCGATGCACTGATTGCATTTGCACTCAATTAAAAAAAATGTAAAAGCAATATTTTTTCAATGTGGGTGGATTTGTTTCATGTTTGCAAAAGGACACACACACCTTGTAATATACTTCACATGAAAATAAACGCAAATCCTGAATTTTCTGTAGGAATCTTAAGGCTAGTCCTAGAGTGAACTGGATGTAGCTTTTTTTTTTTTTTTTTTTTTTTTTTTTTTTTTTTTTTTTTTTTTTTTTTTTTTTTTTTTTTTTTTTTTTTTTTTTTTTTTTTTTTAACCCAAGAAGGCCAATTTGGCCCTACAAATTATTTTATCCATCCCAGCAACACTGCCAATACGATAAACACACTCTCAATTACAATGTATTTGTAATTGACACACAGTGCCAATGCACAGGGTTAGGACGACTCTGCTCGTGAGAGCTTACAATCCTAAAAGGAAACGCCACGTCGTACAAAAGGGGGTAGCTATGTAGGGAACATAAGCACTAATGGGAGCAAAGTTGTGTAGGAAAGCAGAACATAAGGATTTGGATCCGAAGAATAAACTGTATGTGCTCATTCGCTTCACAAACGGCTAAGTTTTGTTGAAACCCCTAATAATGCAATTTTCAACTTTCCCTTATCAGTATTGCAACTATGTTTTACCGCCATTAGGCTAGGGCTGTATTTGGGAATCAAGCTGCCCTGGGCACACCTGAACAATTATTTATTTTTATTTTTTTTCTACCAAGGTTTTACCCTTCATGCCATGATTATTTCATTACAAAACCTAATGCTAGAATGCTCTACTAGTGGCAGCAAGGGGTCTGTTCTATATGTGGTGCTACATAGCAACAGTACAGGGCACCAGAAAAAAAAAAATCTAGGAGAGATGGTTTTATATGTTCTGCACTTTAAAGATCCTTCTGTCTCTTCTCCCAGTGCCTGCGCCGCCCTTAGCCCCAACAGTCCACTAGCTGAAAGTGGCTGGAAAGGGAAACCAAAATAAAAGAAACATTTTTTTTCCCCTCATACATACCATAGAATCTCTTTCACTGTGTTCATTAAAGGACACAGCAAATATCTAAAGGTCTTGACTACTGGGTTACACTGCCACCTGTAGCAGTAGGACTCTAGGCACAAAAGGCAGCCTGGGGGGCAGCCCCTGCTGGTGGCCGACCCCGTGTTTGCTAACACAACCTCAGTTGGTAGCAAATAGTGAAAAGCTCAACCAAAAATAGAACAATCAGCAACAGCCAACACTGAAAGGTAGGTGTTGTGTTCTTTTAATGAACGTAGAAAAGAAGACTGTATAGTAAGTACAAAAATTGAATTTTCTCTTCCAATCATTGAAAGGCACAGTGAAGATCAGAAGATCTTGTCCACTGCGTTGTCAAAAAGTAGTGACTCCTAAAAGTGGGTAAGTGGAAACCACCAGGTGTGAAAGGTCAAAATCCAGGATATCACACTGCCTCCTGTAAGACCTTATGTTCAAAACTGACATCCAAAGATACAAGAACATCAACGGAATAAAACTTGGTAAAGGTATGAACAGCGGACGAAGTGGCTACTTTACCTCCTGGGCTACTTGAACTCTATTGACGAAAAGTCCAGGATGTGTTTGCTGATTTAGTAGAGTAAGCAGTGATAGAGGATGGAGGTTGCAAACCTCAAACAGAATAGGCCTGCATGATGGTCTGTTGAATCGGTCTGGAAATTGTCACCAAGAGACGGCCTGACCTTTTGTGTGGACCATTGGTAAATGTAAAACCCGTTCCAAACAGTGAAAGCAGAAAAAAAGGCAATAAAACTCGCTCATTCAAATGAAAAACCAACACACTTTTAGGAAGTAAAGAAAACCTAGGGCGAAGCACCACCTTATCCATATGTAACACCTAGAATAGGGGACTTGCAAGATAAGGCCGCCAATTCAGAAACCCTACACGCCAAGGTAATGGACACCAAAAAGCAACCTCTGAGATAGTCAGCAAGGGAACATCACATGTTTTCAAATGGGGGCTTCTGAAAAACCATACCAAATTCAGATCCCACAGCATCTCAGTGGGCCGTATCGGAGGGACAACATGTGTCACTCTTTGAACAAAAGTACACGTCAACGAATAAGAGGCCAAAAGTCAATATAATAGAATGGATAGAGCAGAAATTTGACCCTAATCATACTAAAGACCAACCCTTGTTCGAACACTCATCGGAGAAAGCCCATGATCCTGGCAACCGAAAAGTAACACACAGAATCCAAGAAGAACTCATACCAGGCAACAACAAAAAAGGTCTTTCATGAGTAGCCTTATGAGTTCTGAGTATAGTCGGAATCACCGACTCTGACAAACCCATCTCTCAGCATGTGGCTCTCAACAGTAATGTAGGATGGAAGACAGGTCCCTGAGACAGAAGCTTTGGACAAAGCGCAGACGTCAGGGAGTATCTGCAATGAGCCAAATCAGGTCTGCGTACCAAGGACTGCAAGTCTAGGGCCACCAGAACGACCGGAATTCCTTTCACCCCTATCCTGTAAAGCAAAAGGGACAAAAACTTCAGAGGTGGAAATGCATAATTCATACTGTACTGATCTCACAAAAAAGCCTCCAGGATGAAGGGATCATTATCCATGATCCAGGCTCTGGTGGCTGAGGTAGTCTTCTCAGTTGTCCACCCCCCGAATGTACACCGCAGAGAGAGCTGCGACATGCTCCTCTGTCCAACGAAGAATGTGGGAGACCTCCAACATGGCAACCTGGAAGGAAGTGAAAATAAGGATTTTCCAGACAGCAGCATTGGAGGGCAAAGCCACCACAGCGGCGATGTCCATGCTACTCATCTTAACCAAATTTCTCTGTCCAGGAACCAGGTGGATTTGTCCCATTTGAAGAGAATTTCCCGTTGGAGTATGATGTTGGACAAATGGCACCCGTAAAAGCAATATTTTGGAGTCCGCCATCAGACCCAGAACTTTTATGCAAGTGCGAATAGGAACCCATCTGTGAGGACACCACTGATGAACATGGGATTGAAGCTTCTCAGGGGTCAAAGGAATACCCTGGCAAGCCTCATGTCATAGACCAAACCCAGATATATTCCAGGCGAGAGGAAGGAACCAAAGACAATTTTTTTTTTAGGTTCAGAATCCAACCAAAATCTCATGGCATGCTCACAGTTATGAACACATTGGCCTCCATCCCTACACTGACTCCACCCAGCAGAAAATCATCCAAATAGTCCATGACTGAGATGCCACAAAGTCTTAGCAGGGCCAGCATTGGAGCCAACACCTTAATGAGCACCCTGGAAGCCACGACCAGTCCAAATGGGAGTGCTACAAACTGGTAATGTTCCTTTCCCACCGCAAAGTGCAGGAACCATTGACGACTTTGGCAAATCAGAAAACATATAAGTAGGCATCCTTGATGTTGATAAACGCCCGAAGATCTGGAGATGGGACTTACTCCCACAGGGAAGCCAATAACCCTTGCTACTCAAGGGAGAACACCCTCCAAAAAGCTCATTGGTCCGGGACCCGGCATACTGCCCAGACATACCAGCTGCTATCATGCCAGTGGCTCACTAACCATACCAGGATGCACAGCAAAGGAGAGGGGCCCCAGGAGCACATTCACTACCCCAATACTGGAAACAGACTGCACCAGAGGATGCGTACAGGCAGTTTCGTATACTGGAGGCAAGAGGACTGCCCCTGGTGGAGAAGGGCAGAATTCCGCAGCTGCCAGAAGAAAGTAGGCTGCATAGCCACAGCCTTGAGCAATTAGCACCTGGACTGCCACCTCAACACCCACGGGGCATGCCTAGAATCTAGTCCCAGCCAACTGCCCCAGCTCCCGGTGAGCTTTGTAAAAGCCTGCCTCTGACCGAAGTAGAGGCAGGTAGCTCCCACACACAGTGACCCCTACCAGTGTATGTCATACCCAGGTGAGGGGAAAGGATCTCTGAGAGAGCCCCGCTGTAGGGAAAAAACCTCTAGGGTAAAGACAGATAAACTCTGTCCAAGACATGGGGTGCTGCCTGGCTATAAAGGGACACGGTGGTCTAGGTGCCTGCAGGTTTTAGTATAATCCAGTGGTCAAGATCTTATGATCTTTGTTGTCTCCTTCAATGAACAGAAGAGAAAAGTTACTAGTGTTTGTAAACATTAAGGCTTAGTACTGCCTCCGCTTCCAACAAGAGCCCGATCATCCATAAGGTAAAGTAGGCAATAGGCCTTGATACAACTGAGATACAACCTGCATGCTCCTGTAGTAAACCACCAGGCTAAGGTCCAAGCTGTGCACCTGCCTGTCACTTCACAAGGCAGGATGCACTTGTATGCAGGTGGTGCCTGATTGGGGGAACGGGGGTATGCCATTACAGACAACGCAAACATGGTGGCCTATTGCAATCCTTCTCCATTTCAATTAAAGAGATCTGCTACCTTTGCCTAGCAGCCCACTCTGCCTTAATCAGTCTCTGCCCACCGACACTACAACCCCGCATCGGCATTATCAGCGCATTCAATGAGCAATGTACCTCGGTGCACTCCATGGTTTTCTCTCAGCCAGCAGCAGGCGGCGCTCATGCTCCTGGCAGGCGTTTCCTATAAATCGGCCAGCAGGTGGCGCGCGTTCTTCTGCAATAGTTTCATCACGTGATAAATATTACTTCCGGAAGAGGAGCCGTGTGACCGGAAATCTTTGGGTGACCTGAATTCGGCATTGAGAGACAAGGTGAGTGTGGTGGCTATAGGGGAGCTAGGGCGAATAGTTGTGAAGCTCTGCGCAATATCCACAGAGTATCATGCGATGTGCAAGCGTATAGGGAGCAATGTTATGAGTTCATGCTGACCTTTCTGTATTGGCATCTCTGCTCTTATGGCCAGTACGGCATGCGGCTTCCGGTGTCCCCTAGTGGCTGAATATTTCACGGATTGCCTTGGGGGCATAAGAGCTCGGGCATATTTAATCCCTGCACAACGCATAGGAATGGAATATGTATTTAGTAATAGGACCTGTTTACCTACGAAAAAGTCTGCGTGGGACAATTGATAAAAACTGGAGCAGATTTGCATTGTAACCAATCCACTTCTAGCTCTCATTTTCAAATCTTAACTGAGCAAACTGAAGAGAGAAGCTGATTGGTTGCCATGGGCAACTGCTCCAGATTCTGTCTGCACCAGCTTTGATAAATTCCCCCTGCATGTTGATATTTGGTGCATAGGTCTGCGTTGTGTCAAACTAGGAATGTGAATGCAATGGGGACAGATCAGCTGTCTTCTAAAAAAACATCACTGCTGCAACTATAAAGTACAGTGACCTAGAGTTACCTACACATACCTGGAGATCCAGCCGAATGCTGGGCTGTTTCCTGCCTTCTGCACAGTGGTATTGGCCAGTGAGACAGATGGCAGCGTGGTATTTAGCTGTATCTATAGACATTCTGAAGCTGCTGCAGTTATGCGCAGGTATCTCCTTGTATGCCTGCTAGTTTTCTATATTTATTCTAGAGACAAAATCTCTTTAAAGGAGAACTATGGGGTCAGGGATTTTCCCCATAGTTCTCCTAAGGGTCACGGGAGGACACAAACTAGCGTCCTCCCGTCACCCACAGCTCAGTATACTGCAAGCTACAGCTCGCGGTACACCGAGACGCCGCAGCCGGGACGGATCCCGACATTCCTGTCTGGATCTACCCAGCTGTGCGATTGACAGCTGGATCTGCCTATATAGAGGCAGAGCCAGCTGTACCCTCCCCCGTCTGTTCTGCCAGTCAGCGCTGGAGGATAGGACAGGGGAGTGGGGGAATCCCTGCAGGGAGCCGTGAGTGACAGTCACGGCTCTCTGCAGGGATAGATCGAGAAGTGAGCGAGCGCCGGTATGTGTTCGCTCACTTACCAATCTATTGAGCCGACGTGTGACAGTTTCATTGTCACAGGTCGGCTAGAACTATGAGGTGAGTGATTTTCACTCGCCTCATAGTTCTCCTTTTAAAGGACATCTAAACCCATGAACAAAAATGTATTACATTGCAGCTTGCCAGTCCTTGGATGTGGTGGCTGTATTAGTTTTCATTTTTCTGGCTAAGAATATTTTTAGCAAGTACAGAAAATACCTGTTGATCTGGCCAGAAATGTGGAGTCCTCGTCACTTCCTGTGAATTGACCCAAAATCACAAACTATATTCTCTTCCTTCAAACTGTCTTCTGTAAACTACAAATTCCCTGTCTACCCATGTAATAGAGGAGAAGAGGGGTTGAGCTGTTTGTAGTCAAAATCAGGAGAACAGCCTAGCGTGCCAACCATGGCTACCTCCATAGGTGAAGATGTGAGTGTATCTACCCAAGGACAGGCAGTTTATTTGTAGGATTAGCAGATGAGACGAATGCAGCCGCCTCCTCATGTAAGGATTGGTAAACTGTATTATACTGTATGTTTGTTTTTAGGTTTAGATAAGTGGCCATTTGAGAGCTGGAGACATACAGTAGGGAGATTGATAATTATTTCTAGTAGTTAAGGGATTCATAATATTATGAATAGGGATGTACGATACCGAGTATTTGGGCGAGTACTCGTACTCGCCCAAATGCTCCGATGCCTAGCCCAATACTTCCTGTATCAGAAAGCCGGGCAGCACGTCATTACACACTGCCCGGTTTCCTGATTGGCCGGTAAGCGGCTCCATGCTCCCTCGTCACTTGTGATGAGTACCGAGTACCGACATTTTTTTATTGGTACTCTGTACCAAAACACCGGTATCGGTGCATCCCTAATTATAAAGTTTACAAACTGATCTAAAGGAAAATGTATTGTCAAATTGTGACTCTTGTGGTTGGCTTTATAAATAAAACCGGTGGACAAAATGGCAAACTGAACCCTTTTGCTGTGTTAAAATAAAATTAGAGATGCAGCCTGTAAAGGAAAACTTACTTTTGCAGTGGGGTGTGTGTGTTAAATCTTTACTCTCCTGAAGGGCTCCTGGCCCTACTGCTATTCCACTCTTCCATGATTGTTGGACAGAGCAGCACCCACTGTCATTCCCTACATCACTTAGGACACAATAGTGACATAGCGGCCCGAGAAAACGTTGGCAGTATTTGGTCTGTCTGGTTTTTGTTTGTTCCAGTGATTTCTGATCTCTTCAGATACAGAAGAAGCTGGACAGCGATAAATGTTACTGGGTGTGATCATTGAGCCGATTAGGAGGAAGTCGGGGATTACATCAGGGAAACGCTCTAAGGTCTCATTCACATAGGTACCGGTAGTTAATCTGCGTACACATGCTGCAGCAAATGTTATACAGCTTGTTGTGTTTGGACTAGAGTCACAAAACACAGATCACTTCTCATGCATCCTTGTAATCCACATTCGGTGCTCAGATAACTTGCAGAGTAGATATCTTAGAACCTGCAAAACCGGCACACAATGCTCATTTGCAATGTAAAATCCCCACTGAGATCTAAAGAAAAGGGATAAACCAGGCATTCAGGAGACGGCGTGATCACCTGAACGCTGGTAAACCATCCTCTAAAAAGGGATCCACTGCAGAACACTTTTTTTTTTATAGAGGGAGATAAAAGTACGCTACGCATGTAAATGAGGCCTAAGAGCAAAGTGCTTTGAAAGAAATGATTGCTAAAGCAGAATGATATAAAGGAATTGTGTACAAAGAGAAATATGTGGGCTGCCAGAGCTGGCTACCTTTGGGAAAGAATGCTAGTTCCCTGCCTGTCTCTGACTTCAGAATTGACCCAAGGCGAGTATGCAGCCAGTGAAGTCAGACTGTACATGTTTCTGGTCAGGGATTCAGCAAGTATTGAAGTCATTAGATTACCATAAGGGCCAGACAACCAGCATTTTTAGAAGAGGTCAACAATGGCAACCTCCATATTTCTCTTGCATAGGTTTCCTTCAATACTTCTTACTGATATGCTACTGAAGGGTCCATATAGTGTAAGGGTAATGTGTTGGCATATCTGTTTGTGTAAATTTAAATATATTTGTAAAAATGTCTTTTTGCTTTTTATTCAGCAAATAAACCATGGGGCTGCACTTCGGAGACCTCGCTAAGGTGCGACACATCATCACCTTCACCTTATCTCCTTTTGAGCAGAGGGCATTTGCCAAAATGTTTTCAGGAGGCATCCCCAATGTTTGGCGGAGGTTCTCATCAAACTTCCTGACAGTAGCACCACGTAAGTCTTAGACCCAATCCTTCATGACACTTGTGACATTTGTCCTACATGAAATCCAGAAGAAGGTGTAAATAGACTTGGATGGTTTATCTGGTGACTGCACAGCATCTCCTAATGTTGTAAAGTAGGGTTTGTGTTTGTGGACATGAGACTCAATATAGCCACAAGAAAACATGCTTTTAGACACAGATACGTCTACCATTCACTTATTATGCAATCACATTGCATTATAATTGCCTTCTATAAATATTATTTAAAAGGAAAGGAATTTCAGACAACAGATTAGAATATGCTCTTTATACAAACATTAAAAGAGAACTATGGGGTAAGTGTTTGCCCCATAGTTCTCTTTAGGGTCACAGAAGGACATATACTAGCGTCCTCCCGTGACCCAAAGCTCAGTATATAGCAGGCTATTGCACACGATATACTGCGAGTGCCGCAACCGGGACGGATCCTGACATTACTGTCGAGATCCACCCAGCTGCATGAGTGACAGCTGGCTCTGCCTAGAGCAGAGCCAGATTCCTGGAACAGGGGCTGGGGTAAGTAACAGATCAGGTGGGTCGCACTCAGATGGGTACAGCAATGTCCTAAAGAACAAATTGTATCAAAGTTACTGTAGTCCTTTAAGGTGTGTCTAAAGCCAAGACTTGTTGGTTGGTGTAGAGTAGGGATAGAACTAGGGATGTACCGATACTTCTATTGGTATCAGAGCCGATACAGGGCATTTTCATGATACATAGCGCTTTAAATGTGTAAATAGGTTCGGGCTGCTTGTTTAGTACTTGTACAGCAGCCTGCTCATCCATTTCCCCCGCCGGCCTCTCCCCCCATGGTCCGCCCCCCTCCCCACCGTGGTTTTTGGGCTCTCCTGGGACCATGGCAAAGTAGTTCAGGATAGGGAGCGGAGAACGTCCAATCTCCATTCTGCGATCAGTGACACATGAGCTCTGTATTCACAGCGCTACCTGTGCCAGCTGTCGCAACCTGCACTGTGCTCTATCTTCTGTATTGGACAGCAGGCTCATAAAGAGAGCCTGCCGCCTCCAAACGATATCACATAGGAACTTATTTGACCATGTGTGATATCAATAAAGTAAAATTAATGAAAAATTAAAAGTGGAACAAAAATCTAAAATAATAAAACTAAAAAATACAAAATAAAATAAAATTTTAAAGTGATGACAAGGTAAAAAAACAAAATGAAAATGAAAAAGAAAGGTTAAAAAGCCAACCCTGCACCTGGCCATCTGGTGGGAATAAACACATGCGGCATTGTGAGTGCGCGCTGAGTGCTGCCCCCATTCCACTGTGTGCCATATTGTGGCAGCATTCTCTAACACACACAATGCACATTAAAGGGTAAGTTCACTTTCACAAGTAATTTGGGAAAAATTGAATTACCCGCTTAAGTCTGGCCAACTGTCCCCCCCAACCCACTATACTTGCCTTTTGGTGAACTGTTACAGGTGTACTATCTGTACCTCATATTACAGTCCAGTGCAGCCCTGCGTTTATGGATTTACTCGGAAATTGCTAGCACTCCTTGGCCAGTGCAGTCAGGTGACCACGCTGGCCAATGAGAAGCGCTTCTTAGCATGGTCAAATATGGTTTTGGTAAAAGTATTTTTTGTATCAGGACAAGTATGATCATGGATTGAGTTACAGTTCTTCGTAATCATGAAGAAACTGCCCTGAAATCATCAGTCTCTATATTGTTTTAGGAAAAACCTCACATGTCACATTGGTAATTGCAAGTACCTGAGGGAAAGTACTTGTAGTTGGTCTGGACAAAATGATATCAGGACATCCCTAGTTAGAACATCTGTCAGGTCTCCCACTGGGAAGAGTCGCCCTCTTTATTATCAGATAACCTTTGTCACCTAGACTGAAAGCAAAATAAAATCCATCATTTTGAGTCATCACTAGAACAAGAATGAAGGGGATATTTTGAAATGGGAACACTTATTCTGGTGACAAGTGTCAAGGGATTTGCCCTCACTTCCTCTTGTGTCTCTGGTGCAAGAAGTGAAAGTCATTCTATTTGGTCTTGAGTGCCGATATTCTTTTTTCGGTATTCACGGATACAGGGAGACCCATTAAGGAAGCCGGGTCCTGATTAGCCAGTAAGCCGGGTGGTGTGTAATGACTCGCAGCCCGGCTTCCTGATTCGCTGGGAAGTGGTCTCCATGCTCCCTCATCACCAGGTGATGAATACATTATGAGCAACAGCTTCTTCCTCAGAGATCCCAAGCTGACAATGCAGACTTTTCACTCTTCCTCCTTCTGTTTCTCATCTTATCATTTGCTGGTGTCTTCTCTTTTCTTCCACTTTCCTGTATATACGTTCCAGTGGTTCATTGATACAAGTTTGTGCATTTAACCTCTTTATATGTTTTTTTGAAAGTGTTCATCGAGTTTTATATGAATTGGACAGTTATGAATTCTTTAAACTGATTTGTTCACATTTATCTTTTATGTACTTGCTGTAGAGATATTCGTTTCTCAGCTAAGGGTGCTGCATAACCATTTGTTAACATTAATTGGATACTAGATCTTTAACATTGTACAGTTCCTAACCCCCTGACCTGCCCACCTCACTTTTGTTGGGGAGCTTAGTCCAGGTTTTGGGCTTATGTGTAGTTATTAGTTGCCCATGTTTCGATTTTGATGTGGTCTACTAGTTTCAGAATCCATTATAGATATCCATGTTGTGCCGAGAGTCTGTCATATTTCCCCAGGGACACCGAAAGGGGAAGATTGTAGCAAGCACTAGGTTTAGATCATGGAACAGTGTGATATATGCTAACCTGGCTTTTTTTTCTTTTTTCTTTCCAGCCTTTATCTTGGCATATTTAACTTACAACTGGGGAAACAGAGAGCATCAGAAACAGAAGAGAAAGGTGCCTGGCATGTATGACAACGACCAGTAAAGACGCCTGAACTGATTTGAGATCCATCCGCATTTAGGTGACTCCTTCCTGCACTCTATGAAGCGGAATATTTATTGGGATGTCTAATAGTACCCTAAATACATTAAAGATTTTTCACTCTACAGCGCTCAAGTCTTACTCCTCTCAATCAATTGTGTGAATTTTTTGTTTTTGTACCCACTTTATAAAGACAAAGCATCTTGCTATATATTTTGGCCTCCAGCTAAGCAAAGTACAAAATGCCCTGCTGTGTGGCTCTGAGCAGGGCCACACAATGACTGTTGCTGTATTGGGACTGAAAGTGAGTATAACAATTAGTGGGCAACACCTAGGGCCGGGGTCTTAAAGTACCGGCCCATGGCCCACACCCTGCTGACAAGTCAGGCACGCCGTACCTGACTTGGGGAAACAGCTTCACTGTCTGCATCTCTATCAGATGCAGACCGCATGGCTGCTCCTGGTGGTGCTGGTACTCATTAGTTCCTGGTGGCCAACGCTCTTACAGCTCTGAGCACCAGCTAAGAGGAAGGATTTTTAACCTTGCTGAACCACCAGGAAATGTGCAGGTGACAGAGCTCCTATATTGGGCCCCATTCACGCCTGTAAGTTTAGGTGCGATTTTGGATTCCTGAAGCAGGAATCCCTGATCTGGCGTTTACATGGCATGTGATGTGATTACATGCAGTTAGAAATCAGTCACTCTCCCTGGACACACGACCAATGATTGATTTCTAACTACATGTAATCATATCACGTAATATTACATGCGGTGTGCTGGCATGTATATGCAGCAGCCGTCACCTGATCAAATTACTTGAACTGGTGAAAAGTTACCGCCTGTAAACTTCCGGTTAGGGATTCCTGCTGCAGGAAAATGCCAGTTCCTGACGCAAGAATCTATAATCTCACCTAAACGTACAGGTGTGAATGGGGCCTTTTTGTGTGTATTTCTGTGTGTGGGAGGGGGGGGGGGGGGGACTCTATGTTTAAAAACTGAGGAAAAAACACACATATACTGACACTGCACACACACACGTTTACATACTGATACGACACAGAGAAACATTAACACACATACCAACAACATTAACGAGTCCTGACAACACACCATCACAAAAAAAAAAAATATGCTGACATTGCATACAAAGAAACCATCACAAACACATTTACTGACATTCTAAACACACACAGACATTAACACTGGTACTATATATCGGTACATTTTATTCTGAAGTATTGAATTTTGGCAAACGGCCCCCATGGGAGAAGACAATTTGTCTAGTGGCCCCTGAGTGAATTGATTTTGAGACCCCTGACTTAGGGGGAACCCATTAACCACTTGAAGTCTGCGGTGTTTCTTTTGGTGGTATTTAATCACCACTGCGGGTTTTATTTTTTTACTATATTAACCAGTTGACATCCGCGGTGTTAAACCCCCTTCCCATCCAGGCCATTTTTCAGTATTCAGCGCTGCGGTACTTTGACTGACATTTATTCCGTCATGCAGCGCTGTACTGAAATAAATTTTATACCCTTTTTT